AGCCCAGGAGTTGGAGGTTGCTGTGAGCAGTGAAGCCATAGCACTCTACCCAGGGGGACAACTTGAGGCTCTGTCTCGAAAAAAAAAAAAAAAAGTATATTTCATTGATCTATAAGTCCATTCTAATGATAATATCATATTGCCCTTTTATTACTGTAGCTTTATAGTAAATTTTGAAATTGGGTAGTTTAAATCCTCCAACTTTATTCTACTTTTTCAAGATTGTTTTGGTTATTCTATGTATTTTGCATTTCCATATGAATTTTAGGATCAAGTTGATAATTTCTTCAGAAAACCTACCTGGGATTTTGATAGGGATTGTGTTGTATCGATAGATCAATTCAGGAAATATTGCCATTTTAATAATATTAAGTCTTCTGATTCGTGAAAATAAAGTGTCTTTATATTTATTTAGATCTTTAATTTTTAAAACAGTATTTTGTGATTTTCATTGTACAAGTCTTTTACTTTGTTATAACATTTATTTCTTAGTATTTTATTTTATTTTTCATCCACGTAACTACACTTTATTGAGAATTTTTGTAGGCCTTGTGACCTAGATTGGGTGTCAGTATATTATTCTTTTTTGATGATATTGTAAGTGAAATTGTTTTCTTAATTTCATATTCATATCGTTTATTAGCGTGCAGAAATACAATTGATTTTGGTAGGTTAATCTTTTTTCCTGCTACCTTGTTGAACTCATTTTTGGTTTTAATAGTTTTTTGTTGGATTTCTAAGGGTTTTTTATTATACAAGATTATGTCTGTGAATGCAGATAGTTTTGTTTCTAGTTAGTTTTGTTTCTAGATAGTTTTCTTCCTTTCCAATATGGATGACTTTTCTTTTTTTCTTGCACTGGTTAGAAGCTCCTATACAGAGTTGAATAGAAATGGCCAGAGTACATGTCCTGGTCTTGCTCCTCATGTTCATTTATTTATCATTAAATATGATGTTAGCTCTTTTACGTGAATAGCTTGTATCAGGTTGAGGAAATTCCCTTCTATTCCTCATTTCTTTTTTTTTTTTTTTAAATCATGGATAGCTGTTGGATTTTTATAAATACTTTCTCTGAATCTATTGATATTATCATGTGTTTTTGTCCTTTAGCTTGTAAGTATAGTGTATTAAAACAATTGATTTTTCAGATGTTAAGCCACCTTGTGTTTATTTCAGGAATAAATCTCATTTGATAATGGCATATACTCCTTTTTACATATTGCTAGTAAACTGGATTCAGCTTACTAGTATTTTGTTGAGGCTTTTTATGTTTATATTCACAGCATATACAGGTATAGTTTTCTTTTCTTCGAGTACCTTTGTCTGGTTTTGATGTTGGAGTGTTATTGGCCTTGTAGAATGAGTTGGAAAGCATTTCCTCCACATCTATTTTTAATTTTTTAAACTTTTAATACATTATTGTTTAGGCATAAAAATGACTTAGTTCTCATTTGCATACTTTCTGTAACAACTTTAGAGTTCAATTTCCTTTGTATAGAGGAAATACACAAATTGGTATAGAAGAGTTTGTGAAACATTGGTATTAATTCTTTAGATGTTTGGTATAATTTACCAGTGAAGCCATCTGGGTTTAGGCTATTCTTTGTGGGAAGATTTTTGATTATAAATTCAAGCCCTTATTAAAAGTGTATTTAGATTTTCTTTTTCTTTGTTACTAGGTTTGTAATTTTTGTTAAGAATTTAAATATTTCATCTGAGTTATATTCAACTGGCTGGCATACAGTTCCTAGAAATCCCTTATAATCCTTTTCATTTCAGCAAGGTTAGTAGTGAGTCCCCTTTTTAATTCTCGACTTTGATAATTCTTGCTTCACCAGTCTAAATAAAGGTTACTTAATTTTTTTGAAAATTTCAGGGGCCAACTTTTGGTCTTATTGATTTTTCTTTAATTTAAAAGTTTCTCTATATTTTTCTTTTTTTTGAGACAGATTCTTGGTAGAGTGCCGTGGTGTCACAGCTCATAGCAGCCTCGAACTCTTGGACTTAAGCAATTCTCTTGCCTCAGCCTCCCAAGTAGCTGGGACTACAGGCACCCGCCACAACGCCTGGCTAATTTTTTTTATTGCAGTTTGGCTGGTGTCACATTTGAACCCACCGCCCTCAGTATATGGGGCCGGTGCCCTACTCACTGAGCCATAGGTGCTGCCCTGAAAGTTTCCCTATTTCACTGCTTTCTCCTCTAATATTCTTTCTTCTTTCCCTTCCCTTTCCCTTCCCTTTCTCTTCCCCTCTCCTTCCCCGCCCCCTTCCCCTCCTCTCCTCTTCCCCCTTCCCCTTCCCTCTTTTGCTTGCTTTTGGTTTTGTTTGCTCTTCCTTTGGTAGATTTTAAAGGTAGTTGGTAAGGTTATTGATTTGAGGTCTTTCTTCCTTTCTGATACAGGTGTTTGTGGCCATAATTTCTCTCTAACCATATCTATCTTTATACATACATTGCTTGGATAAATTATTTTTGGCAATAGTAAAATGGATGTTTTAGTATTTTTTATGTAAGCAAGCCTTGAGCTGTGGTTTTGGAAACACTTAAATTTTAAAAAATATTTTAAGTATTTTGCTTAAGAATTTATAATCACAGGAAAAAATTTTCAAGTATCCAACCATTTATACAGATAATGTGCTATGAGATCAATTGAAGTACCTTATTATAGACTACTCTAAAGCTTCTTGAAAGGAGAGGATGATGAAAATTAATTCTTATAACATAAAGACCAAAGCTGAAAATGTTTTGTGTTGTTTCACAAGTTGGAACAAGAGACTATCTTTTATGGTATTGGACATTTTGTGTAGTAAACATTAAAACAAAAAGTTTTAAATATTTTATCTCTTGGTCAAGACCACCATCCAGAATAATTCGATATCATTTTTAGTCTTTTTTTTTTTTTGAGACAGAGCCTCAAGCTGTCCCCCTGGGATCACATCTCACAGCAACCTCCAACTCCCGGGCTCAAGCGAGTCTTCTGCCTCAGCCTCCCAAGTAGCTGGGACCACAGGCGCCTGCCACAACGCCAGGCTCTTTTTTGGTTGCAGCTGTCATTGTTGTTTTAGCAGCCCGGGCTGGATTCAAACCCGCCACCTTAGGTGTATGTGGCTAGCGCCTTAGCCACTTAAGCCACAGGCACCGAGCCCCATTTTTAGTCTTATATAAATTAAAATAATTATTCTTTTCAACTCTATTATAAACTTTTGTTTTAGACCAATATTTATATTATATGAATTCTTTTTTTATTTCAGTGTGATTAAAATGCAACTAAGAGTTAGACTTTCTGTGTTCTTCAACTCTTTGGGATGTAAGGATTGGGAAGTAGTTTAGCAGATCTTGTGGATTAACGTATGTGCTTTATGTAAGGGAAAGTATTTTTTCCAACTCTGAGCTCTGTTTTCTGTCTTGCTCATTACCTTTCATATCCTTTTGGTGGATAATAAATGATATATACAAGGAATAGTAAACATCTGATACTTTAGAGTGAAAGCCTCATTTTCTAACTTTGCTATAGAACTTGCTATCCCGTCTTCTTTTAGGAGAATACTCAACTTTGTGATTTATTCTCCTGTTTTTGTTTTTTTTCCCTTTTCCCTCCCTCCTTCCCTTCCTCCTCCCCTCCCCCTCCCTCTACCCTTCTCCCTCCCCTCCTTCTTCCTTCTCCCTCTCCCCCTCCCTCCTTCCTCTCCCCCTCCCACTCCTCTTTCCCCTCTCCCTCTCCCTCCTTTCCCTCCCCCTCTCTCTCATCTTGCCATGTTACCCAGGATTGCCTTAAACTTCTAGGCTCAAGTGATCCCCTTTCTCAACCTCCTGGGTACTGCAGGGATATGCCACTGTGTCTGACTTGTTCTTTTTTGATATAGGGGAATTTATCTCATATTTGTCAGACTGCATTGCTTGTGTTATGGAAAGCTTAAAATTTTTTGGTCTGTTTTCTTTTGAACAAGTATTTATTAGAGTTTTTATTTTATGCCAGGCACTGTGCTGAGCACAGACATGGTCTTTGTCCATATGGGGTTTACACTCTTCATGAGAGAATAAACATAGATTAGAGGAACCACCCTGAATTTGCAGTTCCATATCATGTTATAATGAGATGAAAACTGGTGGGGTTTTAGCCTTATCAGGTGAAGAAGTACCTTTTTAACTATAACAGGAGAGAAGGATAGCATAAAGATCATGGAGGCAAGAGAGATTGTGATGGTGGTAGTAGAAGTCACTTTTTAGACCTTTTTTTTTCCTTTTGTAGGTTTTTTTTTTTTTTTTTTTGACTGGGGCTGGGTTTGAACCCGCTACCTCTGGTATATGGGTCCAGCGCCCTACTCCTTTGAGCCACAGGGGCTGCCCCACTTTTTAGACTTTTAAAACTACTATTCATTTATTTCTATTTTTAATTTTTTAAAGTTTTAATACATTATTATTCAGGCATAAAAATGACTTAGTTCTCATTTGTGTGCTTTCTGTAACAACTTTAGAGTTCATATCTAATTTTAACTTATGATAAATTATTATTTGTGTGTAATTCCTTTATATTATGAAATCAGTGTTTGCAGGTAGTAATTGAAATGAGTCTAAATTATTTTGTCAGTATCTGGTTTAGTTCATGATAAAAATTATATTAATTACATCTCAAGTCTATCAAGGGAACTAATTTATCGAAATTTCCTTTGTATAAAACCTTAATCCTTTCACTCTATCATATATGTGGTAATCACACTAAATATTCCCAATGCAGTTCTTTCGGTCTGAGAGGGTGGTAGATCCAAGGACTTCCTGTTTTGACAGAATGTTAAATACAGTTCAACAACAATGAATTACACATTAGATATTCCCATATCAATTGGACCTAGGAAAATTCACAGGAAAAGCAAATATCTTAAGGAACTAAATAAGTACTACTATAATGTGCTTAGTCACTTATAAATTTAGATTTAAAAATGATTGTTTAAGAGAAATATACTGACTAATTTGGTTCTATTCACCAAATAATAATTTCTACTTTGTCTGACTTTGTTAAATAGATTTTTAAAGCTCCCAGTAGCATTACTCATTTTGGTAATTTTAGATTTCTGTGGTCTTCATTCAGATGTAGTTAAATTATGTTAAAAGGTTTCCTCAAGATTGTGTATTAAAAAAGCTGAATTATTTATGAGACTTATATTTATATACTAAAACAACTTAATTTAGCATAAGGAATTATAATGATATATCTTCTGAGTACACGTTTGATGAGTTGGGACAAAGCTGTTAAATAGAGTAAATTTAACATATTTTCTATTCTTCATTTCAAAACGAATAATGCTCAAAATAGCAAACTCAAATAACAGAAAATGCTGTTCATTCCCACTTTTCAGAAGTAACAAAAGTTGGTGGTCTATCTTTCCAGTGCCTATAAGGTAGGGGGTGGGGTTAGAGAACGGAAGTGGGGATTATTATAACAATAGGTTGTTTTGCTCCAGTTAATTTTTTTTTTTTTTAATGCCAGGTATCTGCTTTGGGTCTGGATCCCTCAGGTGCCCGTTTGGTGACTGGAGGATATGACTATGATGTTAAATTTTGGGATTTTGCTGGAATGGATGCTTCTTTTAAGGCATTTCGTTCTCTTCAGCCCTGTGAATGGTATGTATTCATTTACTTAACATCTTCATATTTGAGTTAATATCTTCATACTTGAAGACAGAGTTCTATTGTCATTTGAATTCTATCTGCAGTAATGTATGCCAAAATACATTAAGTTTATATGATTATATAGCAGGGGTCCTCAAACTTTTTAAACAGGGGGCCAGTTCACTGTCCCTCAGACCGTTAGAGGGTCAGACTGCGGGCCCCAGGGATTTGGCTGCTAAGCAGGACAGACAGCAGCAGCAAAAGCACTCGGTGGGCTGGATAAATGTCCTAGGCGGGCTGCATGTGGGGCCGTAGTTTGAGGATGCCTGATATACTTGCCCTCCTTATTCAAGCGAAAGTAAAACTCAACCATACTTTTTTTTCCTTAAGTTTAATAGTTAACCTGTGTTTTCTCTCCCCCCCACCACACGGAATAGTTAATCTGTGTTTTAAAGGCCTTTTCTGTCTTTTGTTGTTTTTCAAAAATATTTTTATTTAGTAATATTTACCTTGGCTAGTTTATTTAGAAATATTTACTTTACCTAGTTCATTTTAAATACTGAGCAATATTATATATGATGTATGTTAAGCCCATAGTCAGTTGCTAATCTGTGCTGCACTGTTAGGTTTGGTCAGCTGACACTATATTAGAAAGCACCTTATGTGTTGTTATCATAAACCACACTGTTAACTCTTATCTCTATTTTTTACTGTATCTAATCTTTTACCATTTTACTTCCTTATGGTATCATTTTATTTGTTTATTTCCTGTCTGGTATTTCCTACAGACGAGCAAAGGCTTGATAATAATTCATAGTGCATCATATTAGGTGGCGTGTACTGTCTATGCTGTAGATATCTGATTCCTTCATGTAAAGTTAGTATTTTACTTGAGAGATGCAAGAAACCAGATACTCATCATCTTTTCACTTAATGCATCCATTAATGTTTCCTACCTGAATCAGTTATCTCAGTTATGGTTATAAATTGGTGATTTTGTTTTTCTGTTATTTTATTTGCATTTATTTCCTGGCATTCTTCTGAAAGTAGGACTTTTCCTCAAAAACTAATATTATTTGGTTACCCTGAAATAGAGCTCCTAATGGAGAGATGGGATAAATACTTAGTTTTCTGCTTTGTTACTCATTTTCAGCTTAAAGTTTGGTAGTGGTAAAGTAGTTGTTTCTGTTGTTGGTGGGTTTTTTTTTTTTCGCTTTTTTTTTCAGTATCAGTATGTATGATTTTTTAATTTCCATGTGTTTCAGACAATTACAGACAGTCATTATTCTTTTTGATATTTAAATTGTCCCAGATTTGGCCATTGGGAGTGTTTGATTGCTATATAATTTTGACATAACCTTATTACAGTCTTTAAAAGCTTGCTTAGTTTCTGGTACCACATGAAGTAGGCTTCCTGGTTCATTCCTTGCTGAGTCCTGGAATCAGTACTTCCTAGGAGCCTTACTTTCTTTTTTGTGGGAATAGTATTTAGAGACCAAATCTGGATGCCAGGCATGCTCACTGATGGATATTATTGCTTCTTCACCTTTTCAGTGGAAAAAGGTAGAAAATATAGATACCTATGCATGCATGCATTTGTTTGCCTATGTTTGAATGACAAAATCACATTGATATTTCCATTTCAAAATTTTAGTAAACTATTTATCTTAGAATATTTCTTTTATTTTTAAAATTAGATCATAACTACATAGATTACTGCATTTATGGGGTGCAATGTGTTGATTTTTTATATAATTTGGAATGCTTACATCAAACTGGTTAGCATATCATTCACCTCACTTATTTAATTACTGTTTAGACATATATACTCTACTATTAATATATTTGACATGTGCGCTTAGAATATGCATAGTAGGTGAGGTCCTACCGATTATCCTACCTCCACCTGTCCCCCTCCCCTTATATAAATATTTAATATTTAATAAATATTTATTATTTAATAATAAATATCTTAACATATTATTTATTTATTTAGAGAATCTTGTTGTTGCCTAGTCTAGAGTGCCATGGGTTTAGCCTAGTTCACAACATCTTCAAACTTCCAGCCTCCTGAATAGCTGGGGAAAATGGGGTTTTGCTTTGTCCAGGCTGGTCTTGAACTCCTGGGCTCAATCATTCCTCCCACCTCAGCCAGCCAGAGTGCTGGGGGAGAGTATAGATACCAGCCACTGTTGTTGGCCGTAGTGTTTTTTAATTTACAGAAAAGCTACAAAGGTGTAATATAGATTTTATGTATATACATCATTCAGATTTCCTCATAGTTAACAGCTTATATTATCACAGTCTGTTTGTCATAAGAAACCAACATTAGTCAATTACTGTTAATTAATCTCCAAACGTTATTTTGATTTCACTGGTTTTCCCACTAATGATTCCTCCAAGATACCACATTACATTTAGTTCTCATATTTGTTTAGTGTCCTCTGGCCTGTGATATTTTTTAATCTTTTATTGCTTTTTGTGACCTTGACAGTTTTTTTTTTTTT